AGCATAGATGCTATATTTACTTGTACATACCACATTCTAGAACTGCACATGCTCATTCACATTACTCCACCAACTACGGTAGCCTAAATAGGTCAACAATCACCACAATAACAGTGCCAAAATCCATCCATCCATCCATCCATCCAACCATGCACAGGATCATGGGGAGCTTAGAGCCTATCCCAGGTGGGGGACACCCTGGAAGGGGTGCCAACCCATTGCAGGGCACAATCGCACACACACACTTTTGACAATTTAGAAATGCAAATCAGCCTACCACACATGTCTTTGGACTGGGCAAGGAAACCAACGTACCCAGAGGAAACCCTTGAGGAGGGGAGAACATGCAAGCGTTGCAAACACAGGTCAGAGGCAGGATTTGAGCCCCACACCCTGGATGTACAAGGCAAACATGCTAACCAGTTAGCCACCATGCCCCCACAGAGACACTACTTTTATATTATATATAGCAAGTGTGTGTGTGCATGCATGTGTGCGTATGTGTTTATTGTTCAAGTTGTATTAATGAATGTTGTGGTGGAGGGAATGCCATATGCTGTGACCCAAGTTTTATTTTTATTTTTGCAGATTAAAGTCAGGTCCAAAGTCAAATGTTTGTTGAGGTATGTGTTATTTTGAAATTAGAAAGCTTATAGTCCTTCAATGTGCAGCCAAGCAGCACAGAGCCTGCAGCCAAATGAAGTGTTCTCAACTCAAAATGATGCTACTCATTATGGTCTGTGCCTCTTGCCAGCTCATCTCAATGACACAGAGAAAGAGGCTGAGAGGAATGAAGAGAGTTAGTTAGGTACAACATTTTTCGACAAGAGAGAAGTGTCCCATATGGTGCAGGGTATTTACAGAACAGATCAGAGAAATTGAAAAGTGTCTTCTGCTCTTCCTCTGAGCCTTACTACCTTAGCGCCACTCACACACGCGAGAAGATGCCATCTTGATTGAAGAGATTTCCTCAGCAGAGTTACCGCTTCATGAAAAATTTCAGAACTAGGCTTCCTACCTGGAGACATTCACTACAAATGTGTTTTATAACTGACAAAGATTCACATACATTGCCGTCTGCCTTTTGTCTACTGCTGCAAGTAACCTCAATTAATAAACCAATCCACACTAAAGTTACAAAAGTCAAAACTAGGTCAAACTAAAAGAAAAATGTTTCAGTTTTTTCCTTTTTGACAGACTCCTATTTTTGCAGAATCAAATTCACTTCCTATTGTTGTCACTGAATAGTTTCTAGAGAACTTTATTACCTGTTCCATTGGTAATAAAGGCCTGAGGCTTATCTCTATCTGAGAACTTATAATAGTCTCACGGTGCAACGTGGATTCGGGCATCCCAGTCGAAAAGGTTTCAGCTGTCGCATACAGACAAAAGTTTGAAGCCATTTCTGACTGTTGATTCATTCTAAGCTTCTTGATTAAGTCTAATTGATAGACTGGACATATTTATTCACCTTTTACTTTTTGTTTCCTCTTAGCCTTCAGAAACATTGAATTCATACTAGCAATTAACAAAGTGACAGATTACTGTTCATATTCTACAGACATGATACTAATATACAATTTCAGTGACACTGCCAATCAATAAAGCAACATCACAAAATGTGATATTTAAACATATATTTTCTGAATAAGTAAAGTCAGTAAATCAGTAAAGTTTAACCACTCATGTCACTCAGCACCGAGCATGGACATGCACTATGGTTTCTTTGAAGCAAGATCTCAGACCACTGTTCAAGAGGACCAAGGATTGGTTCTCTAGACCACTCCTGGGCATGAAAACAGTCTCTTTTGGGCCCCTCAAACAGCCCAGTAAAAAAGTGTGGAGCAACCTAAAATTGTTTGGGGCAGGAGGGCCTGTCAGGAAGCCCAAACTTCCCATTGTAGTCCTTCTTGAGGGAAACTGATCTTTGGAAATCTATTTTTAGACTGCATTTATATAAATTAAAACTAGTATGTTTGTTTAGAGAGAATATAAGTTTGGCTAAAGCTTTGAAGCCTGCATGTTTCCTGTATATGCAGTTATTAGCTTACTTTCCATAACTTGTTAAACAATCCTAATTGGCTGGAGATGTGAACAAGATGCAACCTTGTAGCTAATGTCCTGATATCCTCAGCTTCTTGATTCAGTTTAATGGATAGACCAGAGCTTATTTGTTCATCTGTACATTTTATTTTCTCTTGGCCGTCAGTAAGACACCAAACCAAAGTCGAGCTAAGACCAGTCGCTTAGGTCGATTTCCAATGAGCCATGGAAGGAGAGATGGAACAGAACAAAAACACCATATGATGTGACAGCTGTCCTGGAAGAAGCTCTGCTCTGCGAGCCTTGGCTGCTTTTGGAGTTTAATGATGGGGTTTCTAAGCACTTGTAGATCTTCACGTACTTAGTTTTTGGATGGGGAAAAAAAGCAGTAAATGAAATTTGTTAAAGTGCACAAAGGAGAAAAAGGCTTGACAATACATTTAAATGGGGAAGAGATGCAATGTGGCAGAGAAGACTACCATGTTCTCATCTGTGGCTGTTGAGTATTATAACATTATGAATGGCTCTCTGCCTGAATAGCAATTGGTGTATATACTTACATGCACATGTTGGGTTATGCTAGCACTAGTAAGGAACTAACATTATGAAGAGAATAGATTTTTATTTAGCCAGTCCTTGGAAAATCCTCTGTACTCTTAACAGCATCATCTCACTGTGTATAGTCATGAAAAGTACATTGTGTATAATTGATCAACTCACAAGAAATTCTTTCCCATTATAGTAATTTCTGTGGAAACAGGAGTGATGAAATGGAGCCTTTTATATATTCAGTCATCATGTGTTGATCAAATGTTCCATCATAATCACTATCTATTGATACACTTTTCTCACATTTTAGCAGGTTTTTGGAATGCATTTCGTTAAGAAAATACTATAGTTGGAAAAAATGTTTCCTAAACAATTTGGATTTATTTAAGAGATAAATGGGGTGGGGGAGGGGGGGTTTGGGGACTTGCACTTTCTCTCCGTGGTTCAGGGGCTTCCTCCAGATACTCTGGTTTCTTCCCCCAGCCCAAAGACATGTGTTGGCTATGTCAAATTGTTTGTAGTGTGTGAATGTGTGTGTGTGATTGTGCCCTGCTATGGGTTGACATGCTGGAGTCCCTCACCTTTTTCCCCAAGTTCCCCGGCAATAGCTCCAGGCTCCCCAAAACCCTGTGTAGGATAAGCATCTTACAAATAAAACAATAGTTTGTCCACCAGTGCTGACCATTTGGAGGCTTGAGGCTCCAGATGCCATCATATCATGGACTTAAATATATAACATTCTCCAATTAGGACCATTTGGGAGCTTGAGCCTAAGGTTCCCTTCAGACCTGAAAACAGTATGAACTTAGGGTCATATTCAGGGTTGGCAAATAAAATTATGTAACAGTTGAAATATTTGGTTTGGGTTCCTTGAACATTATATGTTTCTTTAAATACACACAAAAAACAGCAAAGAACAGCTCAAAACAATAAACATTTATTATGGCATTTCCGAGACCACAAAAAGAAGAAATATTTGCAAATATTTAAAATAATCCTTAATGAGGAAAAGTCAATGAATTTCAAAAAGAAAGAGAGATTAACAAGTATTTCAGACATCTCAAATGTGTAAATTGGTCAAATTGACCCATAATATAATAGGAGGGCTAATTTGATGCAACCCAATTCTTATGTCTTGAAGGAGAAGCTGAACCAGCACTGTTTTTCTGCTATGCTTACAGTACTAAAGTTAATTCATAACTTGATCCATAAAAAATTCAATCCATGAGATAAACAAGGTCTCTGATTAATATGTGTCTAATCCAACATTCTCCATGTGACAAAGGGATACTACCAATTATTTAATAGTGTTGTATTTAATATTAGCCGCAAATGGATTAAATTTATTGGATGTAGGAACTAAAGTGTTTTAGCTTGGAATTCATCCAACATGCAAACAATAATAAAAGCTTGGTCAAAGTCTCAAATGTGCATTCTTCCTGCATGTACATTTACTGACGTAAATTTCATAACACATTATACAAATCTCAGGTCACTAGACAAGGATACAGCATTAATTATAATACCCCAAAATGCCTACAGTTCTATGTAATAGCTTTCTTTAAAAAACACAACAGTAGCTCTGATACAGCACATTTATACAAATTGATAAGTGCAACCAATGCAATTTATAAAACAAGTTGCCCTGGTGTTTAGGCAAATTGAGGCTCTTTGGAAATCAAAATGTTAGGTTTTCCAGCATTACAGGCAAAAGGTCATTATTGCTGCACATGTTTAAAGGTATGGATCATAATGGATGCATATACATTCCATGATGGCACTTCCATTCGTTTGTTATTTGTGGTAACCTGTCTCCAAATTAGAGACGTTTTACACGCAATGCCTACCATAACAGCCCATTTCACATGCCACAGTGGACAACGATTGAAAGCTGGATGTTAGGTTAAAGACACATTGAATTCTTATTCCAAAGTCTGAATTTTACAAGGAATGTCTCAGCCTGGTGATACATGTTTAATGAAGTCTAAAACCAGACTTTGATTGCTTTGTTTTCTTCTGCTGATTCCCTCATTACATTCTACAAATATCAGAAAACTAAATCTTCTATCTAAGTATAATTTCTTTGGTCGTGCCACTAATAAATAGATGAGGAACATTATCTTCATACAAGTAACCTGATAAAACATTTTATGGTGTTTAAACATTATCTTTAATGAAAGGATGCAAGGGCAGCCAACCTGAGCTATATCACAAGCTTAGTAATTAATTAAAAACAAGAACAACAAGCCATGAATTGCATACACACAAAATATATTGAGTGAGCTTGGACAGAATGTCAAATGTGAAAGCACTTCAATTCTGCAAGCCCTTAGCACTGAGAAACACTTGCTTCAAATTTTGCTAAATAAAATGTTCCATGTTGCCCACAATTGATTAATAGGGGAAGCTGAGTGTTAGCTAAGCGGTTAAGCTATTAGACTTCTGATCAGAAGGTTGTGAGTTCAAATCCCAACACTACCAAGCTGCAATTGTTGGGCCCTTGAGCAAGGTTCTCAACCCTCAACTGCTCAGATATATAAATGTGATAATTACAAGTATAACTCTGGATAAGGTGTCTGTCAAATGTTGTATTATAATGCAATATGTTATTCACATTGGGATCTGTATTGACAAAGATGTTGGGGCAAGTTACTCAAAAAAGTAATCCATTACTACTTTAAAATTGTAATTTGATTACATTGCTGCATGTAATAAGTAATCAGATTACTGATTACATTACTTTCAAAACCTATCAAACCTACTAAAATACACTACAAAGTGAAACTCATAGTTCTTTCAGTATTTTTATTTCGCTTCAATGTATCATGATCAGAAAACGGTTTATCATAAAACTTGCCTCGAGTGTTGTCACTTTTTGTACTGTCAGAACTACCAGACCGATAAAATATAAAATTTTAAATAGGCTAGATTGCTGTTGCTAACAAAGGGGAGGCACAACTAAGCTATCATTATTGTTATCGGTTTAGCTGCTACAGTGCCATGCAAAGTACATTATCTTTCCTTATGTTCTGCTCATATTAAGTTCACATAAACTGGAACTCATATAGACATTTACACACCTTGTTTTCCTTCTCAACATCAGAGAATGTTCTTGTTTCAGTTTCCCCTTTACTGGTTTAAAAAAACAAATAAATAAAATCAGTGTATCAGTGAGCTAGCGTATAGCATAATTGAGAGCTGTCAGCTAATAAGACATGAGTGTTATCTGATTGGTCAGTGTTATCTGTAATCTGATTGGTCATGCCTCCGTTTACTGAAGATATAAAATTACAGTCTGTCTTCTTTTTCTGACGTTCAGTTACATAGTGATAAACTGCTCCAAGTGGAGAATTATTCAGGGCTAAAGAAAATATCTTGAAAAAATGTCAAAATGTGATTTATTTAAAAAATACTTAATACTGTTTCCTTATCAATAAATTTGTAATGCAAGTAACAATTTTATTGGGATCAGTAACTCTAGTGAAATTACATAAATTTAAAATGTAAATAGATTACAATAATGTAATACTTTGTAACGGGTTATACCCAGCTCTGATCAATAAGTACTAAAAACACGCACTGTCTCTTACAAAATGCCATAAATTCATCCCAGCTGCTTACATTTCATTACTGTTACTTTTTGTGGTATTCTATTATCAAAAAGTCTGATTAATTGCTTTGTAATTAGTGTAACAATTCTGAGCACTGACACTTCCCTCAATCCTCATGTTTAGCTGACTCTCTGTTCTCCATACTTACACCTGTTTCTAGTTAAAGCAGTTAAAACATAGCCTTAACAACTCCAGGCTTAGATTCGTTACTGCCCTGCATTCATTTAATTAATTCATTTATTCATTCATCTTCAGTATGTACCATAACCTGAGCAAGGTTGTGATGTGTCTCAACTCAGAACACTGGATGTGAATAGGGAATACAGCCTGGATGGGATACCAGTCCACCACATGGCATCATGCACACACACACATTGACATCGAAGGGCTATTTAGAGTAGCCAATCCATGTACAGTATGTCTTTGGGAGCTGGGAGGAAACCATAGAACCCAGAATATATCTACAGTATACAAACAGTAATCTGAGCTCAGGATCATTCTAGGCACTTTGGGGCTGTGAAAACGTTACTCATAGTACCACCAGGTGACACTATAGGCAAATCCTAAGCACTTGGCTTCAACAACTAAAATTTAGCATCGACCAAGTAATTAGCACCAGAATCACTAATACTGTATTTCAGCAGAAACATATTTAATGTGTTTTAAATGACTTTAAGCACATGAAATAAGACTTTGACTTATCCATTGTAGTAGTTACATGTTGATCAGCATCACTTTTTGGATTTCAATCCAGAGTTCCTGATAAAATATCTTAATTTCCAAAAACAATTGGAACACTAGAGCAAAGAGAAAGAGGAATGGTGATTACTGAATAGATTCAGCACAGCCTTCTGTAAAGGTGAGAAGACAAACAATCAGTACAAGGAAGAATAATCAGAGAGAGAGAGAGAGCGAGAGAGCGATAGAGCGAGCTCAATCTCAGGTGTTAGCAAAACCCTGCCAATAGGGGACCTGAAATCCCTTTCTGCAGCTCTTTGCTCATGTCGCAAAATGTTCCAGACAAGTTTTCTTAATATCATCAGAGCTTTTTTTGCTGATACAAAGCGTGACCTTTTCCAAAGTGAGGCAAACTTTGAGAGTGTAATTAATTGCTGCCAGTTTCTCTTTCATTCCTCAGACACATTGTTTTTAGCTTAGAATTACATAGCTATTACATTTTGCAGTTTTATTAACTTAGCACTATTAACTTAAAACAGATCATCACTCAATAAGGGACAAATTACTGATGGTTATTTTTATTCTTCACTTCCTCTCAAGCACATTCCACAGTGAAGAGATGTATTAGCTTATAGCATCCTAGCTGAGCATTTAGTGATTATAAAGGAGACTTTTGGCCTTTTTAGTGACCATGGTATTTATAGCCATAATTGAACAATGTCAGGTCTTCAGGCTCAATTGCAGTCAAAATGGCCAAAGCCAGCAAAGGATGAAAAATGGCTAATAAGTGTAGTTAGCATTGAACTCTCCTGCTTGGTTGGCTAGAAATGATTCTGTGTATATATATATATATATATATATATATATATATATATATATATATATATATATATATATATACACAAAGAGCTTCACATTACTCATTCAGACATGCTGTTGTATATTTCTATTGGCTTGAGCTATATAATGAGCACAATTTATTTTTCCTGACTAATGTTTATTTTGTATAATATGACTAAGAATTGTTCAGGTGTTGCTTCATGTGTGGAAAACTTTATAGTGTACCAGTATAGGTAATTATTTAAAAAACAATTAATAAAAAAACCAACAATTAATAAAACGAATTAAGTTAAATCATTTCATTTTTGTACTGGTATTGCATTTGTTCAAGTCATTTCAACTCAGCTTTACTGTCATGTTTTCAGAATATAGAGTATACAAAATACGTCTGGGTTACGTGTAACCCTGTTCCCTGAGAAGGGAACGAGACGTTGCATTTAGCAGTATGGGAACGCCTGCGGCGTGACCGGTATCTGAAAGCTTGTGTAAAATCATGCCTCTACTTATAGGCCTGCCATGATCAGGTGACGTGGCAATTAAGCGCGTCGCGCCATATATATATGGCACCTGTGCACGCCCTGCCGCTAGCCTCTATTATCACGCAGCCCCCGCAGTCAGCCAGGCAGGCAGGCCCGCATCGCAGGCACGCCGTCTCAGGCCCCTTCACAGCACGCACTCAAAGGCAGACGTTCTGCATTAAGTGCGCGGCATGCAGGTAGGCGTATACGTGCAAGGGGAAACGCAAGGGCACTCACGCCCGCAGGCGCCTGTTCAAAAAAACACGTCAAAACGCAAGGGTCAGTGCAGGACACTTGAACCTGGGAAGGGATGAATATCCAGGCTGTCATAACAGAATGACCATGTGAGGCATAGACACCACCCCGCACACACATCCTGCAAGGAACCCCTTTGGACAAAGCCTTCGACAATCCCAGTAGAGATGCACTGCTTTGACACAGCATCACTTTTCCTGTCGCCGCCAAAGCAGACTAGTAGCTGCTCTGACTTACGCCACTGGCCGGAGCGGTGGACGTAAGTACAGAGAGCGCTTACTGGACACAGCAGGTGCATCCTCTCTTGTTCTGGTCAGAGGACAGAGGAGGGGAGAAAGCCTGCAACACCACAGGGTGGGCAGTCAATGTAGGCACTTTAGGAATATAATCTGGCCTAGGATACAGGAAGGACTTGGCTTATCTAGGGGTAAAGTCAAGGCAGGAGGGGCAACAGGGAGAGCTTGTAGACCTCCCACTCGCTTGAGAGATGTAGAGGCCTGGTAAAGAGCTACCTTTAGAGTCAGAAGCTTCTCAGAGGCTGACTCTAAGGGCTCAAATGGGTCCCTGACAGACCTTCCAAGACCACAGCAAGGTCCGGGGAAGGTATGCATGGCCTGCAGATGGGCCTCAGCCGTCTGACACCACACATGAACCTCGAAGTTAGCGGATGTTGCCCCACAGAGGCTCCATCGACGGGGCAGGGCTGGGCCAAACGGCGGCCACGTAACCCCGATAGTAGAAGGAGCCAACCTGCTGAGAAGCGCGTCTTCTTGTCAGAACTCCAGGACTGTAGCGATTCCGCGGTTCACTGGGTATAGCTGACGTTCCTCACACCACCAGACAAAAAGGTGCCACTTGAGCGCATACAATTTCCTTGTAGATGGGATCCACTCTAGGGGCTCGAAGGGGCAGTTGACAGACCTTCCAGGACCACAGAATGTCCCAGGAAGGTATGCACAGCCTGCAGATAGGCCTCAGCCATCTGACACCACGCATGAACCTCGCAGTTAGAGGATGCTGCCCCACAGAGGCTCCCACAACAGGGGCGTGGCTGGCCGAAATGGCGGCCACATAACCCTGATTGTAGAAGGAGCCCACCCCGCTGAGAAATGTTATTGTAGAAACATGGTCACTACCACCTCAGTCGTGTGACCAGAATCTATTAGCTGGCGCCCCTCAGGGGCCAGACCCACAGCTTCCTTAGTTCTTGCCAAGGATGATAAATCAACCCTGCGGCTTTGAGGCGGTAGGTCCCTAAGGACTCAAATGGGGCACCTGACAGACCTTCCAGGACCACAGGAGGTCCCAGGAAGGTATGCGCGTGGCCTGCAGATGGGCCGCAGCTGTCTGACACCACGTATGAACCTTAAAGTTAGAAGATGTTGCCCCACGGAGGCTCCATCAACAGGGGCGTGGCTGGCCGAAATGGCGGCCACATAACCCTGATTGTAGAAGGAGCCCAGCCCGCTGAGAAACGTTCTGTAAGAACTCCAGGACTGTAGCAATTGCGCAGTTCACTGGGTCTAGGTGACGTCCCTCATGCCACAAGACAAAAAGCTGACACTTGAGTGCATACGCTT